CACCGTCAATTTGCGAGGCACCAGTGGTAAATATTCAAGGGTAAGTAAAGTTCAGAATTAAAGAAACAAGAGGAGAACACTACTGATCTTACCTTAAATAATTTAAAGATACGCTTTCTTTTTCACGTAAATGCATGTTAAATACTGGCACACTCGCATGATCATGTAATGAAATCAGTGACTTCAGTTGGGATTAAAAAAATAAAATGTAATTAACTGACTGCATGACAAGGAGTTATGTATCACAAAGAAATGAAGGCGTTAGCATAGCTCATTCTAAGGTCATTACCAATAAAATCTACGTTATACCGGTGCAATAATTTGTCAAAATAACAAGTAAGCTGCATGTACATTGCCAAGCCTTTGACGTGTCAATGACTGTTTGTGACACGGCAAAGGTTATATTACAGCACCAATTAGTTCAAGTGCAATACTAATTCAGTCGGTGAATTGTGCCAACTGGATTAGTTGGGTCAATGATACAAGATTTATCTTTTTTTATTTTTTTCTAAAATTATTTTCTTTCATTTTCTCCAGTAACGCTTTGTTCAGTGCCTACCATGGTAGGCAGTGTTTTTGGTGATGTGTTCGGATTAATTCGAATACTTTGAAGACAGATATTTTACGTCAACTTTGTGGATACTAATAATATGTCAAAATATTTTTCATCGTCCTTTTCTGTTGTATACTTTACATCTGACATCACAAGCTGTCAATGGGAGCACTCCTACTCCGGAGAAAATTTTGAATTCTTCAATTTATCAAGCTCGCATGCATCATAATTTATCAAATTGCGTAACGAGGGGAGAACCCGACTAAGTATAGAAATTTAGAGAAAATGGAGTCAAAACATCTCCAGAACCGAATCATTGGATTCTAATTTCTGACATCGAATCGATCTCAATGGAGAGACCGTTGCGTGATTTGACGGATTAATGGTGTCGGGACAAAATGACAAGAATTAATCGGTCGATAGGAGTAGATTATAGGTTTTATTCAAATTATCGAGAGCTCGGTGGACCTTATACATGAAATCACTTCAGACGGAATTAATGACCGGTAGCAATTGATGAATTGTCTCTGAATACTCTTTTGACGCTCTGAAATCTCTTTGGGTGTGGTTCATGCATGATTCACACAATCGGAATGTCAGACTCCGGGTCTTGAGTTTTTTATTTGAAATGAGCTGGTAGGTGCACATAAGTACTAGTTCACTCGCAAGGTCTTGCACTTGCACAGTTTATCTGTTAAAATCACTTTACTTCCTCTGCCTCGTCATAACTATCAAACGAGGTGCGTGGGGGGCAAGGCGCATAGGTGCAGTTTTTGCTATTTCGAGTGATACATGTTTCAAGTTTCGAAATTACATGGATCCTTACGGCGGTAAGAAAGTTCAAACTGACTTTTAGATGCTTAAAAATTGGAATTTGGGGGTTGATTTTTCACGACATGCATTGAAACTAGTTTCACTTGAAATCGTGAACATCTCAATTCTTTCAAAAACTGCACTTATGCGCCTTGTCCTCCTAGCTCTTCAATGCTTGCGTGGGAACATGATGTGCACAGCGTTAACTCCGGAGAGAAATCCGGGGTAGGTAAGACTTTGCACTGTACCTGGCTGGATACTCTCTATTAAATTTTCGGAGAAATTAATAATTGCTGAATTTATTTGTAATTATTTGGGGAACTCATCGTCCTCAGTGTTGGGGAATTTCAGAGCTTCAGTGGAGATTCTAGATAAGGTCCAGGGAGGTCAAGACAGTTTCCGTGAAGCGTAGCTCGGTCCCCGACATCTCCGAAAATTTTATGTTAAGTTCACTCGATTTATTTACTCTTCGGAACCTGAAATATCTTCTACATGGGACATATGGACCTTATTTTGGATTATGGAACCACTATTTCTGGCTCATTTTAGTAACAACATATATACCATTGTTTTCTCTATGCAGAAAGGTGCTTTTATAAAAGAGCCAGAGATAGTGGTTCCTTTTTGCATTATGTGATCCATACTATCCTCTCCTTGCTATCTCAGGAAAAACCCTGATTTTTTCAGTTTTTCTCGCTCATTGTCAATTAAAGTCACAGCTAAGTATAACTCAACGTATATTTTCGTTACAGAGAGAGAGAGAGAGAGTACCCTTTAGGAGAATTTTATTTGACACATAATGTTTTCAAGTTCGATACGACATATTGTGAGTACGTTTAGCAGCATATTCAACAACAATTTCACACCACCTATCAACTTTCATCAAAATAAATGTTGCCTAATTTACAGAAAATGTGGCAATCTAAATTTTTTGAATTTTTCGATGCATTCGAGAGCTTGACTTTTTGAATGGTAGCTCCGATGGTCTTTAAATCATAAAAATTCAACAGCAGGCCAGACATATTTGTAGACAATAATATTGTTTATATCATTGAAGGTAAGCTGAACATGATGGCGTACTAACCGATCGCTTTTTATCAGATGTGTATCCTAGTAGTATCCATTCAGCCATCCTGTATCATAGAGAAACATGCAAAATTTGCGCAATGGGATGTGCGAAAGGTATCAAAAGGTAAATATATAATGCCCGGCTTACGCCATATTGATTTTTAGGTGAAAGGTTCTATCCGTGGGCGCTGAAATCCCCCCCCCCGCTGCACACCCATTCCCCTGGCTCCCCCTATAGCAGTATGATGTCATACGGGTTCACCAATTAATTCGGATGCCCGAGGCAATCAGTTGTTGCTGGTAATCAAATTTAGACGAAAAATAATTATTAATGTAAAAATGCAAAAGTACAAAGTTCTAAACAAAGAAAACGAATCTGAAACTGAAAATTGATTCCCTTTTATAAATTTTAATTGAACCATGAACATGATTGGTTTTCTGACGTTCCGTAAGTTTTGCATCGTAAGCAGCAACAATCTGAACTAAAATGCTGCTCGAGTAAATAAAAGGATAGCACATACATTCTCTTCATCATAAACTGTAAGTCACATTGTAAAATATTGCACACATATTTTCCTCTACTCGTCCTTCAAATGCAAATATCCCACCTATCTTTATTTATGATGGATTGTGTGGAGTTAGTCTAAATATGCAACAATTTTCCTGGATCATTGAACGTTTCCAACATTGATGTGTCTATAGTTTTAAGCGTGCTGCAGACAGCGACCTTTTTCCGGATTGTTCCCTTCTTCAATAAAAAACGATCACTCATTTGATGAAATCATCGTAACCAAATATGTAGCAATGGATCGGGTTCATGGTGCAACTAGTCGTGATTTTGGTTTAATATCGAGTTATATTGATTTTGAGGATCGCGGTCAACCCGTCTTTATGATAAGAGCTGTAGTATCGTAAAATTTTTCGAGAAAGTGTTGAAGTCAAAAGTTTATCCCTCCCATCAATCAGGGGCGCAAAAGAAAACAGATTTTATTTTACCTCTTGAGTTTTTACACTATTTGAACAACTACATTGAATGTTCTCATAGCCTCTGAAGTATTTACCGTTTAACCCCGACGTGCAAGTTGCATATACTTGACACTGAAGGCGTTTTCTCCCCACCGGCATTCCGAGCTGATATTTTGTTGCCGACTGTTTTTTGACGAATCATTAGTAGTTGTATGATTCAGGCTGATCATTCTCCTCCCAATGAAGGATTTAACCACTGATACTTATTACGAGGAGAGGGGGACTAATTTTCAAATGCACTTAGAGAAACTGGGAGGTTGCCCCCCCCCCCCTTCTAAGAAAGTTTGAGCGTTGTGACAATATGTGACATCTAAAGAGAAATTTTTTGCAATTCATACCAAAAAATGATTATTGATAAGATTTAAAAGGTGTCACACATAAAATGTCACAAGGTGATTATTCAAAATCTCTTGCAATTCCAGCGCCCGGTGGAATTTTGAGTTTCGCCGGCCAATTACTTTATTTTGCTTTTTTTTCTTTTCTTCACACACCAAACTGTAATTCTGCAATGTAAGTACAAGAGGCATGCAATCTTGCAACCGACACGTGCTCTTCAAACGAAAGGACTTACACAACCTGAAAGATGAATGTTCTTCATAAACAGAAGAATCCAATCTACTTAATTTACGGTTTTATTTTAATAACTGAAAAGATGAGTGACATGATCGCAAATTAACGCTAACCAACGACTGCTTCACCAAAGTCTAATGGCCAACATCTACAAAGGCGGCCATCACAACTGCAACTTTGTAATGTTGTCATTGTCACGGATGTGCATTTTTTGGCTCTAAGAAGGAGTAGACCAAATTTACCACTCTATATACTTAGTATGCTGCCATGTTTCTGTTTTTTTATTATTATTCTTGGAAGTCACCAGTTAGCCCACCGAAAGCGAATGGTAGAATTTGAGTGGGTTTTACAAAAATTGGCGGACGTCTCTACCACTGGATAGGTTTAATCGAATTTATCATTTTCAGACCATTTCATTGGGTTTGTGATCTCATTACGATAACATTAAATTTAAAAACCTCATCGAAACTCTTTATTTTGTTACAGCGAATGTTTTGTAGATTACACATTTTGGTATATATTTTTATGGCGAGTCCCTAGAAATTCAGCATTGAAAAGGCCATCTTTTGAAAACGAGGTGGGTTTTCAGTTACAGCGATGTATCTATGCTATTCAAAATTTACAAATTCGCGAGAAAATTGCTTTTTAATGCAATGTATAACCCGTAAAAGAAATAATTTACCTGGATAGGTTATGTTTTAGGCACTCAGATTGCCTAGGTCGAAATGTACCCAAACCAAAAGAATTTTGGAAAAATTATCTCAATAAAACAATTGTACATCGCCCAAAGTCTCCCTAGGTTATTAGGATGCCGTTACCTTTTATTAAGGAAACAAATGTATCTCCTAATAACGGCACTGCACGAAAGCAATGCTGATGAGAGTAGACTTTACCAAATAATATCATTTTAGGAATGACAAAGACAACAGGATAAATGTCAACTGTCTGCCGAATGAAAACAACAACTCACCATGGTTGGCAAAGGTGACATATAGTCCGGAGTCAGATACTGATTCCCATTGCTTGAGGTTATCATTTTGGTCGATTGCTATCTTGTAATCCTCGGAAAAATTCCAACTTCGGATGCGAACAACACAATTTTCACCGATCCATTGATCATGTATTCACAAAAACGAAAAACTTGAATGAGACTCCAATACGTTCACATTTCCACCAATTCTTCAAAAAATCACTTCCAAAATCAGAGCACCAAAACAAACGATTTAAAAAAAAACCGTTTTTATTTATTTATTTATTTTTTTTTGCACGGCACTAGTCAGTAGAATATTTCGCGACACTGTAAGAGCCAGGAGATAATAAAACTAGGAGCATGAATTGGGCGTCAGAGCGGAGGTATCACGTTGAACTGAGGGCGCCCATGTCGAACGGGTTGCACGGGGAGCGGCGCGAACTTTGACACGGCCGCGAGGAGAGGGCATCGCCGCGTCGAGCGTCTTTCAGCTACTAGCGCGGGGCGCCCCGAGCAGGGGTTAGTGGCAGCGATCCGCCGCTAGATAGCGCCAGCGTTGTCGGTGCAACACGCGCAATGATCCGATGATTGCCGCTGTCTTGAAAGCTCAAAGCTGAAGTCTGTTGGGCTCTTATGTTGGTAGCGATGAGATAAATGTACGAGCAAGATTAATGACGCCGCGGTGTGCGCTCCGACGCCGTAGGTTTATATTCTCTCGCTCCGTCTCTCCTGCCCGTCCTTCTTTTTTATTCCTCGTTGAAGTCTCCTATTTTTATCCCTGCCGTGCTCGCCGTGTTTATTTCGCGTGCCCCTTTTCGCACCTTTTAATTTTAATGGGTATCGTTGGTCTTCGCTCTCTTTTACCGACGTCTTTTCGCTGGATTGTCACAACTACTTCCTGTGTTTCCTGGAGTACTTGTGTAGCGAGAGTAGGTATGGTCAGCTCCCTTCATCACTGGAAAAAAAAAAACACATTGAATCTTGAGTCCAGACTCTTGAAAACATTGACAAGAAAAAATACTCTTGATTCAATCAGATTTTTGCTTAAATTAAAAGGAAATCTGCTCAAATTAAGGGGCTTGGTTCTTGATTTACGCAAAAATCCGATTGAGTCAAGAGAATTTTTTCTTGTCGATGTTTTTAAGAGTCTGGATTCTAGATCCAATGTGTTTTTTCCCAGTGATGGATACTGAGGGCATTATAGGGCAGCCAACCCTCCAGTACAAAAACGTTCACTGAAATCTTTAGATTCCAGTTCCTAATCCAACAGGGTCAAGAATGTTTATAAATGAGCGTTCTTCCGCAATTGAATCGTAGTTATAACGAAAACACACCAGCTCGATGACCTGAAAACGCCCAATTGTAATTAAAGACAGTCAATTTTCAAAGGGTCATCAAAGTTAGCACATCTGTCCCAACTTTGACTTTTAAGTGTCCTTAAGTACTTGCCTTTTGGCACCAAAAATAAATTTATTAGACTATCTTCTTCACCTACTGTGCAGTTTTTCGTGTGCCTTGATTATTTCAATTTTTTTGAGTTGGCGTGTTTTCGTTCTCGCTGATTCAAATATGAGTAAATGTATTCAAAAACTAACTTTGCAAATACGTGCTTTACAAACGAGGGATCGTAAAAAATTATAATAATAGATAGTCCTGGATAATTTGAATTCATAGGCTGGCTACTCTTTTGAGCCCTAACTTAATTCGCGGAGGCATCGGTAAAGACCTGATGGATTTTCGCGGTTTCACAATTTTCTTTACTCTCACTATACATGTACTTTACTTATTCCTTTGATCAAGGCATAAGCTTTGTTTTTTCAGTCATTGTACCGTCATGCTCGTATTAAAGTGATAAAAGTGAGAATAGAAATGTTTTTATCCCTACAGATAGTCGGCACAAGTTGCGTGAAGTGTGAACTCGCAATGCCCTGCTCAATGCTGCCAATGAGGTGTCGCATCAGATTCAGGAGAAAAGATAAAGAGCGAGCCTGATTTTAACTCTCCTATCGTCGGCTGTGTTGCTCACGTAGCCCTTGAAGCACCACAATAAAAGTAAGACAAACGGAGCTAACATAACATAGAAATATGTCGAGCAGGGAAAAACTGCCCGTCGAATTGATGACGGCGCAGAGATACAACTATTCGTACTTGATGGATGTCCGTGTTGCGTCTGCAAAATTGAAGGCGCGATGTCACGAGGCGTGAGCTCGCGATGCTCCGCTTTATGCTGCTAATGACATGTCGCTCAGATTCGGGAGAAAAGTTGAAAACGAGGCCCGATTACGCCTCTCCCATCATTGACTGTGTTGCCTCGGCAAACTTTGAAGCACATTTACAAATAATACAAACAGAGAAAAATTTCATATGGAAATTAAGTAAGAGAAAGGATGCGATTGATGACGGCGCAGAGATACAACTATTCGTGCTTGATGGATGTCCGTGTCGCATCTGCAAAATTGAAGGCGCGATGGCGCGAGGCGTCAACTCGGAATACTCTGCCCTATGATGCAAATGAGGCATCGCTCAGCTGCGGCAGAAAAGTTAAAATACGAGGCCGGTTGATTATATCTCTCCTTTCTTCGCTGTGTTAATACTTTGTTTAATCACTATCAATTTTGAAATGTTGCTATATGCGAAGCGTTCACTATTTTCCGTACTGATAAACTATAGACCGTATTCGATAGTGTTTCGATGTATCGTTTGGTTCAAAACAATAGAACATACTCTCAAAAAAAACCATCAGGATTTAAGTTGGAAAAGCTGAAAATGAGAAAATCCCTTACAATTTCACTTTGCATTGGCATTTGGTACTCGGAGGAATAAAAAATCCATTTCAAAAGACCCGTTCCCTCAGATTTCTGAATTGAATTTTGAGGCTATGTTTATGTTTTGAACCAATCGATATCGATACAATCTCACCCGTTTGATGTATCGAATACGATCTATTGCATCAGTATAAATTCGACCGAATTCATTTACCCTCGTCTGGACGTTTCAATCGGCTTCATCCCCATTTTTTACTAGTGCGAGATAATCTGGGTTGGAATCTCCTACATAGATTTGACAACCATCTCACAGGAGCTCAGAGCAGCTGCGCGCAAGTGCAAAAAACCTGCGCGACGGTCTGCGAGTAATGTGAACCAGATCCTGATTGTGACCAAAATCGGCGGCCAGATCCGAGTATAAATCAACAGTGACGGACATGCGGACTGAAACGAGACATCAAACATCCGAACATCACTCTCTTTGACTCTGAAGTAAGGAAGCACTGGTTCCGTGCACTGAAGCGGGTGGAGAAAAATCAACTTTCAACACACTTTTTCATAGAGGAAATACCTGACAGAGTTCATGTCGCTCCACTTGCTTCACTCCAACTAGATAGCGACAATAGACTGATTTAGACTGATTGTTTTGATCGACACAATGTCATAGAAAAATGAAAACAAACCTATGTTTTTCTATTATATACGGACCGCGTTAAACAGAAAGGAACCAAGCCATAGCAAAATTTAACAGGGGGATTTGATTCTTACGAGAGAACGTTTGTGCGGATTCCTTTGAAAATTTTAAGAAATTTGCTTTGTATTATGGCGAAAATTTATAAATGCGCTCTTGGCACTATCCCTTGGAACCACACCTTCCTAAAAGCCTGACGTCATTTATGGATGGACTTTTTACCCGGTCGTATTATTACAATTTTTTATCGTAATACATGTTTTACTTGAACCCACACCGACGCTGACGAAAGTCTTCACACCTGAAGACAAAATTCTTGTTATTCATGACAGCTTATATTATTTTCTCGCGCGTGATCTTTAGAAAAGGAGAGAGACATTTTGGAATAACGTTTAATCCTTTAGCACGTAAGTGCATTCTTCGCAATACCGAAAGAAACCTCACGACGAGTCTTAATTAATTATCAGACATTGAGAATACAGAGAGACAGAAAAACATGTATGACCAAACTCAGAAGTAAAGCAGGCTGAGAATTCTTTCAAGAGTCTTACTTTTGACATGATGGTTTTAGCCAGCTGTTCCCTATGACAGGGTGACAAATTATTACCTTTTTTTTCGAAAGAGCCATTTTTTATTGCCGTAGGAATGAAGGAGAGGAAAAAATTCGTGGTGGTTTTAATCTGAATCGCTGAACGAAATTGTGCGAGTTGAAATTTTAGGACTGTGAAGAGGGGATGCCGCACATACTCACAAAGCCCAATACAAATGGACATAATCCAAGCTCGCCATATTCTGGTTACGTAAAAATGTTGGAATTAACTCACCAGTGTTTCGGGAATCTGCTCCTCGCCAAATATTTCGGGCATTCCGAAAAAAAAAGAAATGTCGCAGTTTAGGTTATTTTAATATGTAAATACTCTGGGAGTCCTCTGAAATACCCTGTTATAAACCGAGCCAGCCATTTTTGGCGTGCCATCGTCGAGTTCATCCGAGGATTTTTCATGCATCAGTGTTAAGCTCAGCCTTGACGATTTAAGTACCTGTAAGACGAAGTGAAACACACGTTTAATCATTTTTTTCTCAGGACTACACCAGCCTTGCACGCCGGCAATGTTGGTCACAGCTCAAGAATGCGCCGGGAAATCTGTTACATGATTTAATTAATCAATAAAAATGAATTATTCAAACTAAGTTTGGATTCTTGGAAATCCCGAAATGAGCTCACACGCATATTTGAAGTATTAAATGAGAGATTAAGAATAACTGCTCTGAAGAGACGGACTGTACACATTGTGGGCAGGTTAATTTGGCTACACGCGAGATTAAGATAGATAGGTTTTAATTTCGATAAAACTTCCGAGTGGGAGAGAATTTGTCCGGCGGAAGTTCAATTTACGATACATGAATAGCTTCTTTTTCCCCCCTTTTTTCTTTAAAATAAAAAACATACCGTTTACATCAATGCTGAAATTAAGCCACGTGCGCATTGTGAGCAAATCTGCGTAATTTAATGTGGAAGATTCAGAACAAGAACATGAAAACTTTTTCTTTTTTTTTTAAACCGTGTTAACATACATCGATGGTGAAACTACGAGACCACGTATCTCGGTTTGCGACGTCACAGACTACCTACCTGTCATACTTTATTTTTTAAATAGAAAACTACTCAACGTCAGTTAGTGAAAACTTCCGTGATTTTTCCTGTTTGTGCGGAGAAAAATCTGTGAAAATTGTAAGGAGTGATATTGATTTGATCTCCTTTAAAAAAATAAAATGTGAGTGGAGATTTTTAAACACCGCAAACGAGATACGTGGTCTGGAAGTTTCACCGTTGACATGTACATCCAACCCTAATTGCACCTTACGTAGTATCACATGCCAGCAAAACCATGTTGTGTTCTCATAAGATTTATACAATACAACCAATGAAATGTTGTTATGACACAGCAATAAGCAACATTGAAAAGATAGAAATGCTGGATCGGCGCTGTATAGAAATTCATTTTAGTAACAGGAAATGAAATTCTCAACTTAAAATTGCGTTTTCAATGACCGTTTTCTCAGACTATTCACTATTTTGTGTG